CACAAATTTTGGACAGCCTCAGACAGTGAACGCATCGAGCAGCAGTGGCACAGACCGAGAAGAGAGGGACCGTAGCCGAACAGGTCGCACTCACAGCAAACCCCCAAAACGGGATCGAATGAACATTGACTATAACCCAAACAATCAAACCCTCATTTATTAAGGTCACACGAATTTAAGCCAATGCATGGGGAATCCCCCCCCCTCATACATATTGAATCGGTTCAAACAAACGGCCGGAGGGCAGCGGAACCTGAGCGCCACAACGCGTATAACCCCAATCCACTTACTTCCCCCATTCTGCTAAAGCAACGAAAAGCTTCCTTTGTTTTAGCTCTGTGTGCTGATGTTCATCAGAACTAAAGACATCAGTGTTTTTTCCTGCGACAAACAAACAGTCAGTAACAGAGTTAATTAATCTACTTTTCTTAGACTTTGATGGTTTGATGCATCAAACATCGACTTCGCCACGACAAACTTAAAAATCAGACAGAAGGGTGAGCAATGAAAGATGAGGAACTGGAAAGAATCGATTAAACACGACCAATTCACAAAACGAGCATACACGGAAGAGTTCTATCAAACAAGATGCTATTCAAAGTGTTACAACGAAGAAAAACCCTAACGGAATAGAACGAGTAAGCTTGTGCATGCTACACAATTTTCGAAGGTTTCTCTTCGAATCGCACACAAAATTGATTTGGTAGAAAAAACCTGTTGTTAGTGAACTGAAACCACTGACATATCACATAAAGGTGAGAGGGAAATTGGTACGGTCTATTGACTACGCATACTCTCAACCAGGTGTTCATACCAGCTCATACGAAAACAAAATGTAGAACTTAATGGGGATACTGTTTAATGTAGATATCCATAGCATGAAAATATTCGGGAAAACAGTTGAAATCTACTCTAGAATATACTGAGTTATACAAGCAAATGAACAGAAATTATTGATTGATTTTTTTCAATTATCGGTTAGCTCTCTAAACTGACAACACTTTAAATTGTAAGGAAAACCTGTCGGGGCAGTCCACTTACATGCTAACTGGTGGATGCTTTATGCCTCTGTAAGTTGGATGGGTAATTCGGGTGTGAAAAGATTGGTGCTATTGGTGTGGCCTCGTGGCTCAGCTGGTAGAGCGTGTGCTGTAAAAAGCTAGGGTCATTGACGATGCAATTCATTTTTCTTTGGTAATCTGCACGGTCCATCAGGACAGCCCCAGATCCTTTGTCAGGTTATAAAATGACCAAATCGGACTTTTCCTTTAACTTCTGTAAAGCTGAAAAATGCTCAGGAATGAGAAGTGACTTTTGTTGGATATATTAAAAATATTAGGTGGTGGTGGCGCAGTGGTTTAATCGCTATCACCGGCATGCTTTGGACCCTATAGTCCGAGGTTCGAGCCCCGCCACCCGACTTTGGTGGTAGGCACCTCTGCTGTCGTCCGGTTCAATACCACGCCTAACTTATCGGGGCCTTATATGGTTCACCATACCAAGTCCCGGGGCTTAGGTTGAGGAACAGGTCATCAGGACTATGGAGTTCACCCCTCTGCTGTTCACTACACTTAGGTGTGTAATAAAAAAACCCCGGCTGACCTCGAAAAGAAGCATGATGCGGTATTTTGCATCGTTCCCGGATCACAAATAAATTTAACTTAGGAACGCAAGTGAATATACGATTCCCCAAAAAGGATGGACATCAGTTAGAAATACGACACAACAAACGTACTTTGACGGTGTAATTTACAGCGTTAATCAGTAGAATGGGTACAACCTATGATCAGGAGGACTTCCGGGAAAGCGATACAAACTCGCAATCTACAACGTTAATGGAATAAACGTTTGCGAGCCAAGTAATATTGAACCTGTTTACTACTATATTCTGCTGGTTGCAGCAGATATTGACTTGCCCCAATAAGATTTGAAAACTAACTGAAAGGCGCACAAAATGTATTGAATTGTATCAGAATTTCACGAATTTTTAAAGCGTTCTACAATCCCACTCTACCACTGAAATTTTATTCATTATTTTTTATTATTTATTTATTTATTTCATTAATGACACTGGAACTGAAAGGTACTCTAATAGTGCATTATCAACGCAATCGGAGGAAAATATTTTTGACCTGTAAACCTCAGTCGAATTCCAACATCAGCACCAGATACCCAATACTTTTGAAATCCATCAAAATTTTTATGTGGTTATATTTCCGTAGCTGAACATTGAACCGTATTTTGAAATCAAATAGAAAATAAAAAACTAATTATAATTTAAACACCTTTGCAGAGCTCTCAAATTATCAGGGCCATCCATCCCTAACCCGATTACTTAACCATAACACTGAAGAACTGTTAGTGACACATATCAGGACAAATATTACTCGACTGTTTTTCCCCAGTGTGAACTCGCATTCCAACTCTCTTTCGGTCCATCATAATTTGTATTTCACCCTCTAAGCCAGTTTCAATTTGACCCATTTAATGGTTCTGTATTTGGCTAGTTAATAAGGCACTGAAAACAAGCTTTTCTGTCACCTTGAGTTCTAACCTCATTTGTATTATTACTTTGAAAATTCCTCAGAATTATGTTTGCTAAATGAGTCTTGAACATGTTTAAACTAGTAACGGCCGTTTGAAGAAAACGTGAAACTTGTGCATTATGATATGCGGATTAGCCAGCTAATAGCTAGCCTATGCGGGCCGGATAGAACACCAGTGTTAATGTTGCGCTGTCCAAGACAGAACATTGTTTTCATGAGTATGACTTTTCCGGTCCTTAGTGTTTATCACACCGCCAACAAATAAGGTTGGATAGTCGCTTTATTTGTTAGCTCCGAACTGTAATGCTAACGACTTAGGACTAAATAGACGAGGGTATTGGGTTCTTGATCGACCATTAGGATATTGAATAAAAAATATATCCCATCTGTTCTCTCACTAACAACCGGTAGGGATTGTTATCTAACTCTACTGCAAGAAATCCATAAATTGCCTAGCAAATAGAATGGCACATTGGTGTAAGTTGACCTTCCCTCCCCCAATAAAAAGGACTTGAAATAGGTAGACCCAGTATATACATACATATATATATATATATAATATATATATATATATAACCAGCTTGCAGATAAGCATGGTGCCAACGCTAAAACAATAACAACAATAACAATAATAGGGAATAGGTGGATTGGGGTACAGAACGAAGTGGAAAGAGGATGGAACAGTTGAACACGGGAAAATGGAAGATAAATGAGATAGCACAATGTTTTTGTGTGTTTCACCGTACACCGCACAGACCCAGACTAATTGGATTACAAGATACATTAAAGCACTTACCACAGTTACGCAACGATTCTTGGAATAAATGCAAAAGAGGATGCAGTGTGAGATGACCAGGGCCTGACTGACTGACAAAATGAACAGTTGTGCATCGTTTTCTCACAATAATTCAATTACAACATTTTATCCCAATCATGCTACTATATCCAATTATTTAACAAAAACAAAACAGTCCCAGAATTTACGCATCCTTCATAAACTGTTCCAAAACTATTTTTGGTTTCGATTACCGTACTCACCGAATAGTCCGAGTTCATGCATGTACAAACCCCCAATGTGTCCGGTTCGAGCCATCACTTAGGTGACAATGATGCGATTTTAACACAAAAGTAATTTGGTACGCGGCGTTTCAGCCCTTCTTTGTTCTGTTGGTGGAGTATTCGTACCGAATGATTTGGATGGTGGCTTCAAAGCAAGCACTACAACGAAACCATTCATTCTGGATAGAACAAATGATTGATTGAGGAAACCGCTCAGCTTCCTATGCTGTAATTAACGCCCAGATGCGCACACGCATGAGATGCGTGTGGGCATGGGTTTGTGCGCCAAATCTGAGTTCAATTGTTTTCGCACAGCTAAAATTCCGATTCGTGTATTTCAAAAGACGAGCTGCGTGTAACGAAAGTATTGGTGGCATTGCAACATTTGCGGTAATTCAGTTAACTAAACCTAAGTAAGTAGCCTCTAATCGCATTTCATATAGATCAGGCACTTCAGAAGTAATCAGACAGATTCTCGGCGATTTCAACATACACGCATTCTTTCGGGTTGACAACACTGAAACGTCATCTCATGAAAGCCAAAGATCCGGCCAATTTGAAAGATCAAATTTACTGCATTTACGTAATCAATTGTAAAGAATGCCTTGGGTAGACCCTCAGACAACTCAAGACAAGAATAACCGGACATAAGAGAAAAGAAAAACACCGGTCTACGGACACAGCAACTTTGGCAAAAATAGAACGAGACTCAGCAATCGCCTTCACGCCATAGCCGGTCACATCACAGACTACGACAACCCAANATTTCAAACACGCACTGAACGCTCGTATACCGAAGCTTTGGTCATTAACACCCGATCTGCATGCGTCAACAGAAACGACAGAATCGAGATCCCGAGCATTTGGACTACCCTAACATCAAGACAAAGGTCACGATACCACTTGACCCCATATGACAATGGAAGTTAGTAGGACAGACAACGAGTTATTGAGCCCACCACACACACACACACACACGACGAAACATCCGTTGAAATGTGCTCCTTTCCACTGAGTCATTTGATTATAAAACTTGCCTTGAGAAAGGTTAACCGGAACGTCGGCGAATACAATTCTATACCGACATCGATGTGTTATTAATATTATAACATTGATCTCTCCGCCCCCCCCCTGCCAAACAGTTTGATATAAATTGTGATGTATTAACCTGTAGAAGGATCATCGCAAACGAGCTTGTTCGCTACTTTGTGTTTTCTCACAACGGGTATGGATGGTAAATTCGAACAATTACTAAGTAATCCGCATCTGATAAAACGGTAATTCTTTCGGGAGAAAAGCAAACGCTAGCAAACAAACTGGTATTTTGAAATTTTACGAATGCGGCATGAGGTGTAGTGAGAATTGGGCAAACGATTTAGATTATTCTGAACTCACCGAAATTTGGTGAGAACGAAATGATTACTTCCAACGATGCTGTTTCATATGGGTTCCGTAGATACAAATAGTGTGGTACATCCGGTGTTTGTAGGGACTCGAATCGATATCGTTGATCCTCAGTCCATGGTATGAGCTTGCACATCACCGAAATAGGAGCGTGTGACGGCAGTGCACCAACTGATGAGGCTAGTTTGGATTTGTTTGTCGTACGGTTGACCACATTTCCATCCGCCAAATTAGTAGACAGGTTACATCGCAACGCCATGCTGACGGGAAGTGCCCCGACTGATGTTTCGATCAGTAAATGACATGCTGTATTATTAGCACGATAGGTGCTATTCCCACTTTGTCCGTAGCTTTGTCGCCGATCTGCTGTGCCCCCATCGGCAGCTTCATTGGATGTCTCGAGTCGAGGATTCGGAACACGCCGGCACGAATTCAACAAGAGATCTATGCTGGTCATTCTAGGTAACGTGATAAGTCTGTGGTGAAATTGGGACCGGTGGGGGGTTGAATAAAGTTGATGCGACTCAGTGTGCGCAAGTATGGGTTATTCAGCGACAATACAAACAGCAGAAACAGAAGTATTAATAAATTTGTCATAATGCGGTCGATATACATACATGTATGGTAACGTTTTTTATAGCAGTGATATTTACCACTAAATTCACTTACAACTAACGTTCCGTTTAGATATCGAATACAGCAGACAAGTCGAGTCTGCTCAAATGACCCATACTTTACCCCTGATTCCAATCTGGCGCTCGAAGACAACTTCACAATTGACTAAGATCAAACCCTCGTAACAAGAGAGCAATATTTGCCAAATTCCCAGGAAGCATATTAGAAACAAAACACTGAATAATCAACTAAATCTTTTCAAGTAAACATGCCAATAAATCAAACTTGGACGAACAATAAGTGTATGATCATTGCGAATCCCACATTTGGTATCAAGATTATGTTAACCTTAAGTAACGTAATGGGAATTTCTCCTTCCTCAAAGCAAAATATGTATATGTTGTTGTTGATCGCCCGAGAGCACTAGACAAGATTGCTACCCAAAACACACTCAGACAGAATGATATCTAACGGTGAAGTAAACTACAAGAATAAATACTCTTCCTTAATCTTAGGACATATTAGTCACCATCTTGCATCTCGGAGGGTGGTTATTTGAATAATTTTCTTACGTAGTCCATCAGTTAATTATGGTTATGATTCTAAGTAATCTCTCAGGAGAGTCTAACTGCAACAAAGTTAGTTCAATGCCTTTTTCGCCTACGAAACCCTCAGTATGGCCGGGAGCGGGTGTCTCGGGTTGTGGCAGGCCACCTCTGCCTTGCGCCTCGCGAAATGCTCATATACAATCAAGCATCTTAAACAGCCTCTCGTAAGGAAGCCCTGCTTACTGCCCTCCCGTGGTGTTGTTTGCTCACTAATGTGAAAGGAAAAAAGCCAACATCCAGGGCCATAATCGGGTCGGTAAATCACCGGAGATTCACCTGAGTGAGTTAGCTAAAAACCCTGATTCCGAACCAGCCAAGATGAGGCGTGCGAACCAGACCCACCCACACCTTGGTTGTGACAATGTACACCGGCTCG